ACCTTCCGTTCTCTGCCCTCCGCGGCCTCCCTTGCTCTCTTCTCGCCCTCTCTTCCCCCTCTCAAGGCCCTCCCAACCACCGTTCCCCTTCTCCCCGCCATCCGTTCCCCCTCTCCCCGCCATCCTTTCCCCCTCTCCCCGCCATCCTTTCCCCCCTTCCCCGCCGTCCTTTCCCCCTCTCCCCGCCGTCCTTTCCTCCTCTCCCCGCCATCCTTTTCCCCTCTCCCCGCCGTCCGCCCCCCCTCTCCTTGCCATGCGTTCCCTCTCTTCTCGCATTCCGTTCCCCCCCACTTCGCCATTCGTCCCCCGTTTTCTCTGTGCTTTCCGTTTCCTCTCTCCTCGCCATCCGTCCCCCGTCTCCTCTTTCTCCTCCCTCTCTTCTCGCCATCCGTCCCCCGTCTCCTCTCTCTCCTCCCTCTCTCGTCGCCATCCGTCCCCCGTCTCCTCTCTCTCCTCCCTCTCTCGTCGCCATCCGTCCCCCGTCTCCTCTCTCTCCTCCCTCTCTCGTCGCCATCCGTCCCCCGTCTCCTCTCTCTCCTCCATCTCTCCTCGCTATCCGTCCCCCGTCTCCTCTCTCTCCTCCCTCTCTCGTCGCCATCCGTCCCCCGTCTCCTCTCTCTCCTCCCTCTCTCGTCGCCATCCGTCCCCCGTCTCCTCTCTCTCCTCCCTCTCTCGTTGCCATCCGTCCCCCGTCTCCTCTCTCTCCTCCCTCTCTCGTCGCCATCCGTCCCCCGTCTCCTCTCTCTCCTCCCTCTCTCGCCGCCATCCGTCCCCCGTCTCCTCTCTCTTCTCCCTCTCTCGTCGCCATCCGTGCCCCGTCTCCTCTCTCTTCTCCCTCCCTCGTCGCCATCCGTTCCCCCTCTTGTCGCCATCTCCCGCCTCTTCTCGCCACGTGTCTTTCTCTCGTCGCCATCCGTTCCCCCTCTCCTCGCTACGCGTTCCCCCGATCTTCTCGCTATCCGAGGCCCAATCCCCTTGCGAGAGTGTTTCATGGCCCGTGCCATTTAATCTCCGGCTATATACCTCCGCTAGAGTCGTGGGGCCTAATGGCGGGTTTTACAACAGTTTTGGTACGCGAACTTAGGCGGGCACTATGTCTTGTACGCCGATCTTAGCTCGTCCCAATGTGCACGTCGGTCTTACGCCCAAGGTATCATTTTCTTTAGGATAAAAAACCCCCCCTCGTAGTGCTGGGAGTTGGTCGTCGATGGGCGGGCGGTTTCCTTTTTTTGACCTGTGCTGTGGCAGCTATGGCTTCCTAAGCTTGACTGACTACGACATAATCTTCTCCTCCGAATCGTGAAGCACACCCATGGAGCTCTTGAACGACGGGTTTGAGGGTGGTAGTCGCATTCGACAAATTGTGCGACTTTCACACTTGTCGCACCGTGTTCCGCCGAAGTCGTTGATCAGTTTGGTGCGTCGTGGCCCTTTCGCTACGTTTCAAACTGTCGCAACATGTTTTTTTCGTTTCGTTTGGTGTGTAGTGCTCGAGTCTGGGTCGTTTATTCTGACCCCCAAAAAGCTCAGTTTTCAAGAGCGCCCAGGGTGTGCTTTTCTAGCCTGTGGTTTTAAGACTTTATGTACACTGATCGTAATGCCCAAAAACCCTAGTTAGTGCAAAACATCTGGACAATTGTTTTCGTCACTGTATGTCTCTAGAGATGGTATTACGATGCTACATTTCTTCCTAGACTACCATGAGTGGTCTCTCTCTCATGCATGTCCTTGTATCCATCATGGATTATAAAGCTGTACTATACCCTATTTCATATAAGTTTATGCTCTCAGAGTTCTCCCACCAAGTTCCTAGATTAGCAAAGTAATCAAGCATTAGTCCATCTTATACCCAACTCGAGTATAAAATGCATCACCAAGCCACAAGCTTATAGGAAGATCCTCTTCTTCAACACTCAACCTTGTGGCACCTTCACTCTTCAAGTACAAGGCCCTCTCCTTCAACCACAACCAAGATTGTGGTCTCTCCTCAAGCTTGTGGTCTCCTCCTAAGCTGGTGGTCTTCTCCCAAGCTCAAGATTCTTTCCAAGTGCAAGTCCTTCTCTATCAAGAACCACTCCCAAGATCCTTCTTCTTTTTTGTAAGACACACAAAAGTAAGTCTTTCAACCTTCTTCACAAGCATCTCTCCCTGGACAAGTCTCTTTTTATTCACTTGAGTACATTTCCCTTATTTCTTACAAGCACATTATAATCTCATTTATATGCGCTAGAGTTCTACTATTGCGTTCTTGTCCTATTCAACCGTGCATTTTACTCTTTTGTCTTCATCTGATGTTTTATCACACTGACAATGACAGGGGCCCTATTTTTCTAGGGAAGCGAACTCTATATTAGATTTTACATAGTGAGTCCATCCCCTACTCGAAAATCGGCCATGGGATGATTTTGGCTTGCCTGTCCATGGACGCGTATCGATATTCTGAATGCGTCAAAAGCAGGGCTAGGTAGAAAGTTTACCCTGTTTTCATTGACAAAGCAGTGTAATTACCCTGACTTCCAGAGGCCTGATCTGGACACCAGCCACACCCTGGTGGAGCCCAAATCCCGATCTTCGAAGATATGGTCATTCCAGATTTGCTGGACTGTAAGAAATCGGCATCAAGTACAATCGGGCGTGCAGGGTCCTCCTCAATCAGTTACTGTAGAAGTTTTTGTTGATTGATTGCTTTGAAACAGCATCTGGCCGTTCATGTTGGACGACTGCTGTAAGTAAAATGAATCGGACCGTCCGTTCAACCTAGTTCTCCCGCTCGCCAAGAACATCACATGGTTTACCCATGTGACTTGACATGCGCGGCAGCGACGCGCAAGGTCGGATCACCTTGTTGCAGACTGTACGAAGCAGGAAGCTTAGCTTGTCCAAGAGGCTCCAGTCCAGACCAGAGCATTCTTTTATTTTTTAGTCACCCTTAAACAATTAGGTTGCTGGAGATTTTGCCTTTAATGCTTTAGCGGCCAGTAGAAAGCGACCCTAAATTATTATGATTCATTTTAACACTACCCTTTTCTCTGCCCCGGTTAGAATTTACCAGGAAATGTATGGGCACAACGAGAAGGGTGTGAGTAACGTGACTGGGCTGTGAGGGGAGAAAAACGAAAATCCATGGAGTTGTCTCCCCTCTGTTCGTGACTACGAGGTGTCAGTACGTGCTGTGAGGGGAGAAGAACGAAAATATACTGAGTTGTCTCCCCTCTGTTTGTGACTTCGAGGTGTGAGTACTTGCTGTGAGAACAAAAATCTTCTAACGGAGTCGTTCCTCCCCATGAGATTCGCTCTGTAGCCATACCAGCACTGGTAGAACACCTCGGTTAAAGAAATCACATCCTTAAGATCTAGGATTTCACTTGAAATAATCCCTTTATTGACCATTTGTATATAAAGTTGACCCTAAATTTGTGGAAACGTCTGGAAAATGCTATTTATTTGACTCAAATTCAGGGCAACATTTCTTGAAAACTGGCCCTGCAAATTTCATGGCAGTCTTGTCGCTGCTTTCGTGGTACAGGTCATACAGTACTGTATTCCCTTATCACCAGGAGGGCGACGCTGTTTTTTTTTGCCTGACATCGCTGCAATACGGGGTTGTGTCGACATGGAATACAGTAGTGTGCATGACTGCTCCTCATGGTCTACTGTATAGTATGCATGAGTGCTGTGGATGGTCTACACTACTGCGGACGAATTATACGCGAAAAACAATAATGATATTGTTGGTGCCAAGATGGAATCGAGGAGGGTGGGGCGGTTGCTGAAATGAATCCAAGTCGTTTGTTGTGCTCATGCTGCATTCAACCCACCAACCCGAACCAATCGAGCCAAACAAAATCAACTTCCTGCTGCCCAAATCCCTAGATTCAGTCCCTCTTCTCTCTCCCCTTACACTCACTTTCCTCAAGTCTGCAAAAATCCCTCGCCAATGCGGACAAGGGGGAATAGAGAATCTGTTGGCAAGAAGGTCGCGGAATCCCCGTCAACTACAGTAGACCGTTCATGGCGCGGTGTTCCTTGTTGCTCTACCTACCTTCGGGTTTTTTCCCACACGGCATAATCCGGGTGGGAACAAAAACAGCACGCCAGATCCGGGAGATTTTCGTAGCGTCAAAATGTTCCAGTTCAAAGGTTCTGTAAGAACGAAACACAGAATTCACTTATGTAAACTCATGCTTCGGGTCTCACTCTTCTGTATTTTCGTGTTTATTGGAGGGGAAAGGGAGGTGGCGAGGGCCTTTGGGAGGGGCGTGGGGGAAGATGGGGGGGGGGGTTGTTGTTGAGGGGCGGGGGTTAGGGAGGTGTTTTTAGAGCTAAGATCCGTTTCTGCCAGAGGTTCACCCATAAAATCAGGGTACTTCGCAAAACGAACACGTCACTTGGGGGGTACTGCTGAATACAAACCTGTCAGAATCCAGCTCCATGGAAAAGGAACACGTCAGAATCCGTAATGGGACGAAAAATCACCCGTTATTTTGCGAAAATCCGGGTAGCTGCCCGTGAAAAATAGGCCTCCCCTCCTCCCTCCCTCCCATCACCCACCGCACCACGTCTCACCTCACGCATACCCTTCGGATTCTAGTCAGCATACCGCGTCAGCATTTCCGTCCCATGTGGGTTCGAATTCGTTAGAACAGTCGCTCGGCTTGTTAGAGGGCACCTCAGAAGCGTCCTGTTCGTTTTCTACCATATGTCCTGTTTCCCCACGGTCCAAAGCGGTGAAACACGGAAACATTTTCTCCAACATCACGCACCGCATTCAACCGTATTAAGGCGTGTCCAAAGTGTCACGCGACTCCCGGATGTCGACGCACCGATCTAGAAACCTTCTGTAACCTTCTGGAAAACAATTAAATCGTACTGAAACTACATCGGATGTTGGCGGATGTCGACGACATTTGTCGACATCCCACTTTGGACACTTTCTGGACTTACTCTTGCACCCTCCTGGCGCTACTGAAGTTGCTCACCTGTCGTAGTTGCTCATCCTCATCCATAAGTGAATCCTGCAATGGCAGTTCCTAGTGATGCGGCCTAAGTTTCTAGGTATGGTCACTGGTCAGTGTAGTATTCAAGGGAAGCTGTTCGTAGCCGCTCGGCTATTGAGTCGTCTCAAAAGCCAGAAATCCCTAGTGCCGTAATATTTCTATGACCCGCTCGGCTTTTGAGTCCGCTCAAAAGCCAGAACTCGTAGAGCCGTTGTATTTCCGAATGGGCCTCGCTTGCTCGTCTCCTTATTTTAATGCACCCGGCTCCTTTTCCGAGTGATCATTTTTTTTATCTCTCTCGTTCTTTCTTCAACGGCCGCAAACGTGTCGGCACGGCGTAAGCTTTCTAGCTCGTGTAAGGGTCTTCCTGCCGTTACTCGCACGCAGAAATTTCTGTTTCTTACGGTATATTGAAACTAGACGAAGTTAATCAGCGAAATAATTAGGCGTAGCCAATAAGCCGACTCGTCAGTCGTGGAAACGACGGGAATTTCCGTCCTTAGCTCACACGCCATGTCTTGGGCTGGAGGCACCGATTCTCAGTCGCTCGCGTTTCTCTGCGCGAGCATGAACGATCCTATGGCGGCTCTAACGGCTTTCGATAATCAGCAGATGCAGCAGCAACAACAGCAGCAACAGCAGCAACGCCAGCAGCAGCAGCAGCAGCAGCAGCAGCAGCAGCAGCAGCAGCAGCAGCAGCAGCAGCAGCAGCAGCAGCGTGCGTCGTCCTTTGCGGGAGCAACCCGTCGCTCGCCGTCGGGGTCTCCCGTAGAAGCCCTTGCCACGTCAGCAGCACCTGATATACATAATACTTCAGCCTTAGGAGCTGCTGGTTCGGGCTCTCTGTCTGGGCAGCGTGCTGATCTCCGCCGGACCAATGGATTAGGTCCGGTGCCGAACCTGGCTGCCGCAGGCTTGGGACTCGGTCCATCGCTGAGCCCAGGCCTGATGACCGGCGCAGGTGCACGTGTCAACGATTTACTGGGTATCCGCGACGCGAGTCTAGCTGCAGTGGTTGCTTCGGGGAAGATTCCAGTCAGGAGCAGCGGGAGTCCCGTCGCGAGCACCACTGCTGCTGGCGCGGCGGCGGCGGCAGCGGCTACAGCCGCTGTTAGGGGCGCGCTTGTTAGTAGCGTGACTGCCCGTCGCAGCGGGCTCGTCGCAGGGGCAGGAGGAGGGGGAGGCGCAGAGGCACGGGGAGGGGGAGGCTTGTCGGGCGTGCGGGGAGGAGTGGGCGCAGTTGCGCAGATGAGCGCGGACGGGGGGAGGTTCGATGCGGAGAGGGCACAAGGCGCGGGGGGGCTGGGCGGAGGCGCGCAGCAGCAGGCGGAATTTCTAATGGGCGCGGGAGCGGCAGCGCAGCAGCGGGCGGAGTTTTTAATGGGCGGGGGAGCGGCGGCGCAGCAGCAGGCGGGGTTCCTTCTGCTGCAGGAGCTGGCGGGACAGCAGGCGCTCCTGGGGGAAGCGCAATTATCGGGAGGGTTCCCCGGAGGTATGCGCGAGTTACGAGTGTTTAATCGACTGCGAGGTTAAGACCAGCGTATGAGTTGCGCCCGATTTGCTGAGTATGTGGGCTGAAGGTCGCTTGCTCCCGCCTTCGTGTGCGCGCGTGCCCATCCCCTCCCCCTCTCCGCACGGGCTTTCAGTCGGGATTTCCGCCTTCTACTGCGAGGGCTGCGACATGGGGCGTTAATTCACAGAGATGGAGTCCCAAGCATCCTCCTTTTCCCCGTCCTCATCCCCCCCCCCCCCCCCCCCCCCCCCCCCCCTTCTTTTCGGCTGTTCAGTCGACATTTCCGCGTTTTACGGCGGCGGCGACATGGGGCGCGCGTCGATCGCGGAGATGGAGGCCAAGGCGGTGGCGCAGTCGCGGTCGCACAGCGAGGCGGAGAGAAGGAGGCGGGAAAGGATCAACCAGCACCTGGCAACGCTAAGGACCCTGCTGCCCAGCTCCAGCAAGGTACAGGTGCTCTCACCCCCCGTTAGGTCTGAAGCACTATCTCTTTGAAGGACCCTGCTGCCTAGCTCCAGCAAGGTAAGGGTGCCCTCACCCCCCGCTAGGTTTGAAGCACACTCGCTTTGAAGGCGCTGGCCCAGTCGCGGTCCCACAGCGAGGCGGAGAGGCGGAGGCGGGAAAGGATCAACCAGCACCTTGCCACATTACGCACGCTGCTCTCTAGCTCTAGTAAGGTAAGGAGGGGGCCTCTGCCCTGGGCACGCTGCTGGCACTGGTTTGAGGCCCACGCTGTGGGCGCAGCGCAACAGTCGCAGTCGCGGTCCCACAGCGAGGCGGAGAGGCGGAGGCGGGAAAGGATCAACCAGCACCTTGCCACATTACGCACGCTGCTGCCTAGCTCTGGCAAGGTACGATTTGGAGGCGAGAGGGAGAGAGGCGGAGAGAGGTGGAGAGGTGGAGAGAACGTAACCTGGCAACGCTGCGCACGCTGCTGCCCAGCTCCAGCAAGGTGAGCAGCGTGCAAGGATCAACCCCTGCACTCTCTGGACAAGGCAACGCTATTAGGCGAGGTGGTAATCCTGCTGCGAGGGCTGCATGCAGAGAGGGAGGCAGGCAGGGCAGGGATTGTGCACTTTCAACGCGCCTCATAACATCCCGCTCCACCCCTTCCCCCCCCCTCCCCACTCCGTCCCTACCAAGCAGACTGGCAAGGCAACGCTATTAGGCGAGGTGGTGGACGTGCTGCGAGGGCTGCATGCAGAACGGCGAGGCAGAGGCGGGGCCTGCGAGGCTGCGCCCTTTCAACGCGCCTCTCAACACCCCACTCCCCCCACTCTCCCCCACTCCCCCCCCCCTCCTCCCTGCCAACCAGACTGACAAGGCGACGCTATTAGGCGAGGTGGTAGACGTGCTGCGAGGGCTGCACGCGGAGAAGAAGGCGGAGGGAGAGGGGGAGGGGCGGATTGGGCCTATGCCTCGAGATGTAGATGCCTTGGAAGTGGAAGAGGTGGTAGCCGTTGTGGGGAGGGAGATAGTGGCAGACTCAGACGGACAAGGCACATTCTGCCCGTTCCTCACCCAGTCTCTCCCCTCTTCCCTTCCCTCATCCGATGCTTCTACCCCCCTGCTTTTTCCAACCAGACGGACAAGGCAACGCTACTAGGCGAGGTGGTAGACGTACTAAGAGGGCTGCACGCGGAAAAGGAGGCGGAGGGGGAGGGGGAGGGGCGGATTGGGCCTATGCCTCGAGATGTAGATGCCTTGGAGGTGGAAGAGGTAGTGGCCGTGGTGGGGGGGGAAGGGGGGAGGGATGGCGGGGGGGCGGAAGGGGGGGAAGAGGCGGAAGGGAGTGGGGGAGGGGGTGGAGGAGGCCAAGGGGAAGGGCGGAGAAGGGGTGAGGATGAGAGTGTGGGCAGATGTGTGGGAGAGAGGGGAGGTGGGGAGGAGGGCGGGGTGAGGAAGCGGAGGAAGGGGGAGCATGAGGGAGATGTTGGGGGGAAGAATGGGGGCAGCGGAGGAGGGGAGGGGGAAGGGAGGAGGGGAGGGGGGGAGGAGGAGTTGATTCGGTTTGTGATATCGTGCGAGGACCACCCAGACTTGCTGGGATCACTCAAGAAAGCAATCGATGTGAGTGTGTTTATGGATAGAGTGAGTATGCTTTCGGTGCAAATGAGTGTATTTACGTTGGTACTTGGTTGGCTAGTGGTGAGCGGAGGGGGAGAGGAGGATTCATTCCGTTTGTGAGATTGGGTGAGGATCATCCAGATATGCACCCACATGACTTATGAGGCGCCTCAAAAATCATCCAGATATGCACCCACATGCAGGCGCCTGCTTTTGCGGTCGTTGGAAACAGCCTCCTGCAGCGACCACGTCACGCACCACATGCTGCTCTCTTGAGTCCCATCCACTCACCCCATGACATGTTGCTTCCCTTCCCCCTCCCGTCATCTGTGTGTCTGTACACCACAGCTCCTGCGCCTGCACGTGCGGTCGTTGGAAACAGCCTCCTGCAGCAACCGCGTCACGCACCACATGCTGCTATCTCGAGACCCTCCCCCAACAGACGAGCCCCCACACTCCTCCCGCCCCTCCTCTCTCTCCCCACTCCCCTCCTCCTCCTCCCCTTCTCCCGCTGCTGGCAATAGTCCGCTTAACTCGGGGGGTATGGGGGGGTTGGAGGGGGGTGGGAGCAGCCGCAGCAGGGAGAGGGAGAGGGAGAAGAGTGGGGCAGACCGGAGGAAAAAGGGGAGGAAGGAGCCCTCAGTGGAAGTTATTCGGGCAGCTTTGCGGGCAGCTGTGGAGAGAGCTCGGGCCTCGGCTGCTGTGACTGGTGCTGTGGCTGGTGCTGTGTGTGCTGTGGCTGGTGGTTTGCCTGGTGTGGGTGTTGGAGAGGGTGCACTAGAGCCCAGGATCATTTCGGCTGCTGCCCCCGCCACTGCTGCTGCTGCTGCTGCTGCTGCTGCCTCTGATGCTCTTGCTGGTGATTGCGCTGTCGCAAATGGCAATGCTGCTGCTGTTTCTGTTGCTGCTGCTGCTGCTGCTGCTTCTCCTGGTGGTGTTGCTGCTGCCAGTGGTGGCGACGATGGTGGGGATATGGGTGAGGATGGGCGGATTCAGCTGTCAGGGGAAGGGCTGGAAGTAAGGGAAGGGTGCGAGCAAGAGACACAGCAGGGGCAGGAGGACAGGTGTGCTGACCAGGCGGGGCATCCGCACCAAATGCAGCATCAGATTCAGCACCGGAGATTGGAGCATCAGCAGCAGCAGGACGAGCAGGAGGGGCAGCAGGTGGAGCCTCAGGTGAATTCGCTGATTCAGCACCAGCAGCTGCAACTGCAGCAGAGGTTGCAGCAGCACCAGCAAATGATTCTGAGGAGGCACGAGCAGCAGGAGCAGCAGGAGCAGGAGCAACAGCCTTTGGACTCCCTGTGCAATCCCTTCTGATGTTATTTGGGCTGGTATCATCATCATCACCTTGCTGTCTGCCTGCCACCTGGTGAAGCTGCTACATGAGTTGCGGACACGGTCATAGTACCTCTGCTCAACAACCCATTTCCGATCGAACCTGATGCACCCAGGGTTCCCGTTAGCAGACGAAATCCGTCTGTTCATCTGAGAATCAGACTCACATTTTCCGTGTCATCTGATTTTTTGACAACCATTAATTTTCCATCTGAACGACCATCTTGGTTACCGTAATCCCCCGTATATAACACCCGCCGAAATAGTCACTCCGCGGGTGGTTTATGCGGGGGAGAGCTTATGATAGGGTGAATCTAGGAGAGCACCCGCTTTTCGGGGGTTGCATTTTACATAACACCCTCCTCGTTTTATGCAGCAAAGAACAATATTTCGTAGTTTTTCAAGCTCAGATCGATTGAGAAAAATAATGAACAGGATGAAAAAGGCAATGTCAACTACCATTAGCAGCGAAAAAACGGGCAGAAACATCAACACAAGTTGCAGCGCGAAATCGAAACGTCAGCAAAGGTCGAGACTCGGGAGGATTTCGACCGTCGAAGTCGCGGATTCTATTGTGATTTGACGGTCAGAATCCTCCCGAGCGAAATCCTCTCGTCGAAGTCGGGGATTCTATCGCGATCATGACGGTCGCAGGTGCCGCACAAACCTGGCCCTGACCACAACACTCAGCATAGATTGGCCAACGACGATTGGCTTGTGAGTTTCGTCTTAGCGGGTGCTGTACCTCGCTAACAGTCGCTCCGCGCATTTGTGAACACACATGGCCTGAAACACTCAAATTCAAATTGCATTTTACATAACACATGGGTATCAGAATTGAAATTGAATTAATGGTAAAGTGAGAGTACACACAAATCTACCTAAGTGTTGTACCCTCTAAGAGGTAACCCTATACAGTCTATACAAACATGACAAATACAGATGTTTGACACAACCCCTAGACTGCATAGGGGAATACCCTAAACAAGCAGCTCAGGGCGGCACTACTAGTCCAACCTCTGAGACAAGGGTCTGAGAGACCAGTCAGAAGGAGTACAGACAAGGCAAGAACAAGACCAGGGCGGCACTACTAGTCCAGCCACCTGGAGAGGACACAAGTCCAGTCTGAGTATACATATAAAGGACAGTACAAGTCAAGGTCCTAGCAAGTGAGAAGCGACAGGAACTAGACCAAGCTGTGCACAGTGCCGCTGATGATCTTTAGGCGCAAGCGCCTTCGTAAAGATATCAGCTGTGTTGGCACTTGAGGCCAAGTGTACTACGCGAGCCTGACGTCGCTGCTGTAGCTCACGCAGGAGGAAGTACCGCAGCTGAATGTGCTTCGCTCTGCCCTCGAGTCGAGGCTCCTGACACAGGAGGATCATGGCCCTGTTGTCAGCGAACAGGACCGGGGCAGAGCTAGGCCGCTCACCTAAGTCAGTGAGCAAGAAGGTCAGCCAGCGGAGCTCCTGTGCCGCCATGGCACCAGCGTAGATCTCAGCCTCATAGCTGGACTGTGCAACAGACGAGGAGCGAGTAGCTCTCCACGAGACGGCACCTGAGCCAAGGCTGAAGCAGTAGCCCTGGGTAGACCTGAGTGTCTCAGCGTCGTCTGCCCACGAAGCGTCTGTGTGTCCAGTAAGGACCACTGGCCTGCGTCCTCCAAGCACTAACCCCATGCCCGATGTACTAGCAAGATAACGCAGAACCCTCTTAGCGGCAGACCAGTGCTGCGGTCGGTGTCTGCCTGTGGCCACAAAGCGCGCCAGGATGCTGAGAGGGTATGCGAGATCTGGGCGAGTGCAAGTCATCAGGTACATGAGGCAACCCACCAGCTCTGCGTAGGGGCCACTGGGCTCTACCACCTCCTCAGGTACTGGAGCGGAGAGTCTGTGGTCTACAGGTAGAGGGGTGGGCTGTGCAGAGGAGAACTGAAGGCTGAACCTCTGAAGGACCTGGCGCACCAAGTGTGACTGAGTCAGGGTGATGGTGCGCGCAGCTCTGTCCCTGGAGATCTGCAAGCCAAGGTACCGGCGCAGTTCTCCAAGGTCAGTGCAGGTGTGTCTCTTCAGCAGCTCTGCCTTCACGGAGGCCAGTGCGTCCCTGTCTGACGTGGCAAAGACCAGGTCGTCGACGTAAACAAGGATGTAGAACGGAGTCTGGCCAGCACGAACGAAGAGTGAAGGGTCTGCGGAAGACGGAAAGAACTGCAGGTCAGCAAGGGTAGCACGAAGAGTGTCGTGCCACTCACGGGGAGCCTGGCGCAGGCCGTAGACGGGGCGCCGCAGGAGCCACTGGGTCCCAGGAGGGAAGGTGCCAGTAAAGCCCGGAGGGCGACGCAGGTAGACCTGCTCGTGTAGGCTGCCCTGAAGGAAGGCAGTGGAGAAGTCGAGGGAGTGAAGCTCGTAGTCACGCTGAGCAGCTAGGTGTAACAGAACCCGAAGAGTAGTCATCTTCGGGGTCGGAGCGAAAGTCTGGAAGAAGTCCACCCCCTCGCGCTGACTGAAGCCTCTAGCCACATAGCGCGCCTTGAAGACAGGCGGCTCTCCAGGAGGGCGCTTCACCTTGAAGAGCCAGCGGCCATCGACTACGTTCACCCCAGGTGGGGGAACTGCGTCGACGAAGGTGCCGGTGGATCTCCAAGATGCCATCTCCTGCTCCATGGCAGCTATCCACTGTGAGGCCCAGGGTCCCGAAGTCGCCTCAGCGTAAGTGCGAGGGGTCGGGATGTCGAAAGCGTCTGGGTCACCCTCAGGGACTAGCAGCATGGAACAGAGATGGGGAGCAGCCTCGGAGAGGAAAGCAAGCTCGAACTGGCGGTCCTCCAGGACGTCACTGCCAAGGGCAGGAGCACCCCCGACAGACGGAGGACAGGCAGGGTCAGAGACCAGAGCGGTGGCGTAGTCAAGGCGGCGGGTAGAGGCGAAGTCAGCGACAGCAGCGACAAGAGCGTCAAGGCACGAGACCGGAACAGACGGGTCGGTAACGAGAGAGGCAAGGACCCGAGGAACGAGAGGACGAGCGGCACGAAGGTAGTCGGACAGCGGGGGGGGCGCAACGACAAGGGAGGACGGAGGAGGCGACGGGAGAAGGGGAGGACGAGACGCGTGGGAACGAAGCAACATAGGGTGGGAGCGCAAGACAGGCGAGGCAGGACGAGCACGGGAGGGGCGGTGAGACCAGACGTGCGACGGAGGAGTCGGGTCAGGAGACAGGGGAGGGGACACAGGAGGGGAACGAGGGGGGAGACGAGCCGGGGACGAGTCCGGCGGAGAGAAAACAGGGCCGTAGACAGGAAGAGGAGGAGACGGTCGGGGAGGAACCGACGCAGGGTCGGGGGACGGAAGGCCGAGCAGGCGAAGGGCGGACACCGGCGGGGACCGCTGCTGCGGCGGCACAACGGCGACACCTGGACCGCAAGCTGCTCCTCGGCGACCACCGGCACTCTCCACACCAGCACCCCCAGAGGGACCAACCCCAGGGCGACCGGGACGAGCACCCCCAGAGTCAGCGAACGGGGGCTGCGACGGCGGCGGCGGCGGCGGCGGAGGCGACGGCGGCGGCGGCGGCGGCGACGACGGCTGCAGCAGCGGTAGTGGCGGTAGAGGAGGGGACTGGGGAGGGGACACCTGGGGAGGGGCGGCCGGCGAGGACTGCACAGGAGGGCCACCATAGTCAGAAGACTCCTCAACCGGGTCCACGGACGCAAGGGGGGTGACGTGGGACACACCAGAGGGGGCGGGACGGGGAGGAGGAGGAGGAGGGGCAGGGACTACCGGGGAAGGGGTGACCAGGAACAGAGGGGGGGTAACCGGGGGACCACGGTGGGGAAAGCAGCGGTAGTAGGAGACAGACTCGTCAAAGGTGACGTCACGAGAGTGAAAGAAGCGGTGAGACGGCGGGTGGTAAAAGTGCCAGTCGGACGCGTCAAGGGGAAAACCGAGGAAGACGCAGGGAAGGGTGCGGGCAGTGAGCTTGTCCGTGCCGGAGGCACGGACGTGAGCAAGGCAGCCCCAGACGTGGAACGCAGACGCGTCACCAGGGGACCCAGTCCAAAGACGGGTCGGCGAAACCTGCGGCTGCTGAGGGTGCGGCCACAGGTTAAGCTGGTGAGAAGCGTAGCGCACAGCGAACGGCCACAGAAAATGGGGTGCACCGGCATGGATCATGGAGGTGCGAGCGACCTCCATGACCAAGCCGATGCGTCGCTCAGCGACCCCATTCTGCTGTGGGGAGTCCGGTAGGGTGAACGTCTGGGTGATGCCCTCCGCACGACAAAAGCGACCAAGGACACCGGAGGCAAACTCGCCACCACGGTCTGAGTGAAGACGCAAGACAGGGAGACCGCGGTGGACACGCGCAGAGACAAGCCAGGGGATGAGAGCGCCAGGCACGTCGGCCTTGCGCTCCAGGGGAAAGACGGTGGTGTAACGAGTGAAGTCGTCGACAAGCACAAGGAAGTAGCGCTCTCGACGCGGCCCAGGGACGGGGGCGGGGCCCCAGACGTCCAGGTGCAGGGTCTGCAGCGGCGCGGCGGTAGGGGGAAACGAGGAGGAGTGAGGGGCACGGCGAAGCCGACCCTCGACACAAGGCGTGCAAGGTGGGGCTGGAGAGGAGGGAAACGCGGGGAGCGAACCTGGGAGACCAAGGACGAGACCGTGCTGAGACATGTGACGCAGACGCGGGAGCGCAGGGTGACCTAGGCGGTGGTGCCACAGGAGGGTCGGGTGAGTGAGGGAGCGACAGGAGCAGGCAGCAGCAACCTGGGTAGACGCAGCCACCTGAGGGGGCGCTCCAGCCGGGGGGGTCACGGTGTCCAGAGTGAACAGGCCGGACACCGGGTCCCGGGGGAACGTGGACAGGGGGGCACCAGTGGCGGCCTCGGTACAGACACCATACCGCTCGTGACTAGGGAACGTAGTGGTGACGCCAAGGTCCTGGAGGCAGCCGACACCAACTAGGTTCCTGGAGAACGAGGGGATATGCAGACCTGTAAGAGAACCCGAAGGAACCGCCGGACAGGGAAGGGTGGTGGAACTGCGGGCGACTACCGGACCGCCGGAGGGGTCAGCAAGAGAAACGGCAGCAGGAACAGGAAGCGGCGTCAGGGTGGTGGAGTCGCGGAAGAAACACCGAGAGGCGCCAGAGTCCAAGGTGAAGGAAAGCGAAGCCGAGGGGTCTGGCGACGGAACGACGGCGGAAGCACCAAGACTACACAAAGCAGGGGATCCTACGCCTGACGCAGCAGGGGAGGCTAAGCTAGGCACACATACACTAGGCAACAGTGAGTAATAAGCGGGAAGCACACTAGAGTCATCAGCATACATCACATGCAGAGCAGAAACAATGGCATCCATGTCCATATAAAAAATCTGAATCTGACGACTAAGCAAA